AATAAATAAACGTAGCTATAGCGAGTGCTATCATCGATAAAGGTAATAAAATATTTATTACCGCCGCGTGTTTGTATTGATTTAAAATCACAAACGTCACTATGAATTAATTCAAGTGGTTCCGTTTTTCTTTCAACCGATTTGAAAGACGTTTTCGTTAGTTTTGCCTCTACACAAACTTCACATTTGTGCTTCACATCAATTGTGAATTTAGGAATGTGCTCCATGTTAATTAATCTACGTATAGAATTAAAATTAACATGTCCTAGTCTACCATGCCACACATTGGAAGACTCAAGCAAGTAAGCAGAAGGGATTTTATTATTATTAATAATAATAGTCATTACATTGAGCTTAAAAAGCCCATCACATGTATACCCCTTGCCCACATACATTCCCGACTTAGACAAAACCAGTTTGTCCGACTCAAAAACCATGCGGAAGCCATGCTTGTTCAACAACGAACCGGAAATCAGGTTTTTGCGTATCTCCGGAACGAACAGCACTTGGTTTAGAGTCAGCTCCTTGCCCGAAGTCATCTTCAGAACCACTTTGCCCACGCCTTCAACCGCAGAATGAGCTGAGTTTCCCATCCACACCTTCTCACCATTTGATGGCTCAAAAGTTGTGAATAACTCCCGGTTTGAGCAAATATGCCGGGTTGCACCGGTGTCCACGAACCACTCCTTGGAATTGGATCCAACGAGGTTGACTTCCGTAACCACAGCCGCTAGGATGATGTCTTCATCCTTTTGCCCACCTTGCACCAAGTTGACTTGAGAGTCTTTCTTCTTCCGTGGTGCCTTGCAATCCGAGGACTTGTGTCCATTTTTATTGCAATTGAAGCATTTTCCGTTGAACTTTGTCTTGGAAACGCCTCCCTTGGGACCGAGCTTGGTCTTCCCATTATTTTTATTTTTGGAGCCTCTCAAAAACTTCCCATTATTTGAGCTAAAAGCTAAAAAGTTCAGTCTCATAGCTTTATCCCATTTTCCCGTAACGTTTTATTTTTTCCCAGGATCAGAGTTGTTCGAACTCTGGTGGGACCTAAAGCTAAAAACCGCATTCTTTGAGAGGGTGAGCTAAAAGCTCTTAATGATTATCATAGCCCTTAATTTTAGGGTGGTGTGCAAAAGCGGTACACACTTGATGATGTCACCTATATGAGTGTGAGGTGGGGCCGCCTCCATGAAGCATGACAAAACTTCTAGAGCACTCATAAACACCAAGCACGCGCATGGCCTTACGGCGCACAACGGCGTAATAATGAGAAATTGTGCGGGATGAGACACGACCGTTAAGACCCTGATTTACCAATAGTAGCTTGTTGGTTCAAGAAACTATACGTTTCACCAAAAGCTCGGTTTATTAAGACTTAATCGTCTCGGTTTGGTTCATAGTCTACGGACACCAAACTTAAAGTCTCATTCCTTTAATCCAGCAGAAATTTTCTAAACTATTTTCCAAAATGTAAAATTATTCATTTGAAATATGTGGGGGATTGTTGAAAAATAGTAGTATTTCAAATGAATAAAATGTTATGTTCTTTAATTATTTATCACACACTAATATATTAATAATCATTTATACATATTATGCATAGTAAATTATAACTATAATGAAAATGGAGAAAGTTTTGAACGTTTCAAGCTAGGCTTGATCCTATTGTGATTATTAATTGAAATAAACATGCTTTAATGCACATTTTCCATTGAGCTCTAATAAAAACCGTTACAAGATATTAATTTTTGATTAATATGCATTAATGAACCTTTTGTAATCTCCTTCATTTTAAAACCGTTGCAAGTTGCTAACTTTAATTATTATTAAAGTTATATTTACTCCCTAACGTTTCATTCTTTTCATTGGAGTTTTATGTATATATATATATATATATATATATACATGCTTGCATGGAGCTAGGAGGAGGGTGGAATGAGCTTTAGCTTCAAAATTCATTTGTTCTTGTTTTTAAAGATAAAGAAAAGATTACTCTTCATATTTAGTAGCTACCAAATAATATTTTCTGCCCTTTTACTCTGCTGGATTAATATATTTATTCTACTCTCGTTGTTCTGTTACCGGCTTACGCCGAAGAGCTCGTTTTATCTTGGGGAAAGGTTTTCGCTAGTCGGAAATACTTTCTTGAGGACAGCGTTTACGCGACTCGAGCTATATTATTTTCTAACGCATTTTTTGCAGGTTTATCCGGCCAATTTCCTCCAACAGAGACTTGGTCACATCGAAACCTAAATCATACAACAACAACATCTAAATTTAAACCTAACCCAGAACACCAAAAAATCATATGCTTCCAGAACATTAAACCTTGTAAAACATGTGCTTCCAGAACATCAAACCTTGTAAAACATTTGCAAAGCTATTATTATATATTCCCAAATTTGTTTCACTCATTCTTGTGTAGGTGCTTCTTGATTAGTTAGTGTAAGCCACATCCCGCCACGTCCCAATTGGACTACTAAAATATCATATCATAAGTATGATCAAGTGAGTCAACTTTGTTTTCTATTAATCTTTGATTTTCCATGAGTTGTTTGGTAAATAAAAATTGCCTCACATGTAAACTAAGAACATATTATAAGGAAGTAGCAGAAAGTTTTATATTACTTGAGATTCGACTATGTATGTCATGCCATAAACTTTAATTAGTACTTCCTGGGCATGCTTTTACTCAAGGTAGTCAAAGGCGTTAGGCGCACTCAAGGCGACAGGGTTAGCCTAGCGCCTGAGGCGCAAAGCGCAAAAAAGCGCTCGCCTGACTCATGTCTGGCGCACTGCTTAGAAAAAATAACACATACTATTCTCCAACAATCAAACATTATGTACCACTTCACCATATTGAAGGAAATACATTAAGAAATCATGTTTCTTACAAATAAAGTCATGCATCACCAAAATAAAGTCACGATTGACCAAAATAAAGTCACTATTAAGTGATTCACTTAAAGTCTTAAACACTAAAACTAGAAAATAAAACATAATTTGATTTTAGTTTGCAGCCCAACTGCCTATTTCCTGCAGGACTATTCGTCATTAAAATCTGAGTCTGTTTGTTCCCCATTTCCTGATTTATATCCTCCTACATCATCTTCAATTTCTCTATCACTTTCCTCATCCACAAGCCTACGACTAGTATTTGCACTATGAATTGTGGACTGTCTTCTAATATATTTTAAGGGTTCTTCCGCTCCAGTTGCTCTACTCACAGCACCCCATGTCAAGCCATCATCTTCCTCATCACTGAAAACTAAATCATGTGCAGCACTTTGATGATCAGTGTTTCCAGTCAACCACTCATTGCAATCATCTATGTTGTCTAAAGCAATTGGATCGGTGTTATCTTTGGAGTCGAAACGAGCTTTCAAAGTTGCATTATACTTCACAAAAACTAAATCATTTAGTTTTTGCATTCTTAGCCTGTTGCTTCTCTTTGTGTGAATCTAAAAATACAAAAAAAATTACTTGTTTTAGTGCTTTAAATGTTTTAACTTTTAAGTGTTTAATAATTAATTCGTAGGAGTGCTGATTAAAATGTACCTGTTCAAACACGCTCCAGTTACGCTTGAACAAGAGTATAATAGTAGAGAAAATTCAGAATTAAGGCTTGCTTCAATATATCAAACGTACACATATTTATACATGCTATACTAGGTTAGGTTGTTGAGAGATCCAAATATAGTGGAGTGCTCCCGTAGAAATGTGAGGCTACCGTAAGACTAGGTACAATATAACAATAATACAAGTCATCAAATATTATCTAGAATATTTATAATATTATCTAACAACGCTCACAACCTGAAGCACTACACGTGAGGCTAAGAACTCTCGTGGCCAATTTTTGTAAGTTGGGAGTTGTGCTCCCATACAAGCGCCACCATTCAGCCGTATATATGACAAAAAACAGAATTTATTCATTAATATAATTGCTACATTAATCTGGCAGATTGTATATATGACAAAAAATCAGAATTTATTCAAAGTATTAATTAAAAAAACTGCATGTTACTTGGTGCCTTGGTCTTTCTTGTCAAAACTGCCAAGTTGATGCCAAACAAACCCTCAGCCCTCTTGTGTACTTTGACAGTTCATCAATAATAACAAGTTGTTCTTCATCCTGAGGAACATAGTAGTATGACATTATACTCATGATAACTTTAATAATATTTTCATAAATAAGTTTTATTTCGGTAATATTTTCGGGAAAAGAAAAGTTTTCCCCCAAAATAATGCTAAACAAAAAAGTATTTACGAAATAAGGATCGAGTTTAATGTATATCCCAAAATAGTGGTGAAATAATCTCTCGTTAATTAATAAAGATGTCACTTCGATTGACGACTCACTTAAAGTTGGAAATGGGGAACCATGAATAGGAAAATAAGCAAGGTTAAAGTTAATTTTCTGACTCCATTGTCTGAAGCATCTGTAGAAGGTCATTTTAGTCATTCTTCATATAATTTTTATTTTATTAATAGTTTATTTTAATTTTTTTAATAAATTAGCTGAATTAGACACTTCAGTCAGAAATTCATATTTTTCACCAAATCAATCGATTCAGTCAATTTCAGTGTTACAAAACAAGCTCTAAGTTCCAAAACATTTTATTCAAAAATAACAACTCAAATCGAGTCAATGAAACAAATAAATGCCACAAACATTCTATATTGACACTTTTAGCCAATAAATAAAATGTTTCTTATTGCACTACTCCCTCCGTCCCAATTTGATTTTCAAAATTTTCTATTTTGGTTGCCCCAAAATGGTTTTCCACTTTCTATTTTAGGTATGTAGATAAGAATAAAGTGACAAATTTAACCTTACTTTTACTTTTTTCCATTAACTTAAAGACATATATTTTTAGGAAGATGGACAAAAGTGTAAAAAGCAAGCATCATTTATTGTTCTGCCTGAATTCTTGTGTCAGTCAAAAGTTTGCAATTCAATTCAGGACAGAGGGAGTATGAAATAACATTGTACAACCCTGAGACCTTAATTTTACAAATTGGATTCACATAAGGAAATTGAACATAAAATGCCCATGAATTGTATCTTTAGATTTATTTTTAATTTCATATATGCATCGTTGGTGTCAAATGAAAGATAATAAAAATTTATAAATTTTGATATATTTTTCGTAAAAATTGGATAAAAATAAAAAAGTAATAAACATTTTAGAATAGAGTTTTTTATATATTTTGGGTGTCATAGTCCTACGTTCTTGATTTGGCAGTTTGGCAGCGGTAACCACACACTTTCAGTATTTTGAGAAATAATTTTTACCCGACCATGATTTAGTAAATATCTTTTTATTTCGCATTACTTTTGAAAAATAAAAATAAAAGAATCACTCTTATAAACAAAATAATTAACGATTTTGCTATCTAAGTAAACCCTCTTTTGCGATTTGTAATTCCGGACTACGGAGTACGGAGCACTCTTTAATTTAACTAATTGACAATAATCAGAATCAGAATATATATTAAACTATTGATTAATCCGAGAAGGAATTAAAATACTACTACGTCTATCTATTAATTGATAGATTATTACTCTAGAAGGATTATAATGACGGTTACGTACGTGCACATACCAAGTCCTAATCCTACCCGGCCACAATTATTAACTCATTAATTAGGACTAGAATACTTGATTAATGAAATTAGCTAGTTTTCTCTCTATAAATACAATACGATGATGTACGTTGCATGCATAATCGTATCTTCAGCTTAAGCACAACTGATATTATATATATATATCCCAATCTTTCTTTAATTAGCCTTATCCATGGCCGTAAACACTTTCTTTTCTTCATCATTCTTTTTCGTTATATTTATCCTATTCATGACCAACGGCCTGTCTTTCCCGGTTCCGGCGAATCATTATCATCAAATAAATTTGCCGAACGGAATCGTTGGCCCAGAGAGTATTGCTTTTGATTGTACCGGAAAAGGACCGTATGTCGGTGTTTCCGATGGGAGAATCTTGAGATGGGAAGAATCTGTCGGAGACTGGACTGAATTTGCGGTCATGACACATAATAGGTACGCATATTCAAATATTTATTTATTTATTTATTTTTATTTTTTCAACTTTCGTAAATGTGTATTGGCTGGGCTATAACGTACGTTTATTTATGTTTCCAATCCATTATACGATCGTATATATGGTTTGGGATTTTTTGTTTTCATTCTTATATTAAAAATGTGGTCGTAGTAATAATATTATGATTGAGAAAAGGCTACAAAGTCTATCTATAAGAAGTGTATTTCTATATATATAATTTGTAATTGAACAGTTTTTCAAGAATGATTTTAACTATGAAATACGGAGTAGTAAAATTAGGGGAAAAACATAATTTGGATTGGTTAATAATATTCTAGCTCCGTATCTTCCTCAAAACGTACATCAGCTTAGAAAATAATGACGATATATAATTTGGATTCGCTAATTTATATACATAAGCAATCGATTAATAGAGAGATAGAATCATTCGTCTTTCATATGTTTCTATCTGAATTCTAATTTTCTAATCTAGTATAATTTGATCTAGTTTGAACTGTTCTGATTACGTACACATTATATATGAACACAATCTTACCGTATGATGCATAATTATATTTACCTTGACGGTGTATTATATTTGTTATTAAAAGAATTTGTGTGCAATTTGGTTATTAGGAATAGACAATTGTGTGATGGAATAACCGACGCTCGAAGGGAACCGCTTTGTGGTCGACCGCTTGGATTAAAGTTTCATCCAAAGACTTGTGAGTTATACATAACAGATGCTTATTTTGGGTTGATGAAAGTGGGACCCAATGGCGGGACTGCTACCCAACTTGCAAATTCAGCTCAAGGACATCACTTCATGTTCCTTAATGATCTAGACATCAATCCTATTAATGGAGTTGTCTATTTTACCGATAGTAGCATTCGCTATCAACGAAGGTAAGATATTGTTCAATGCACAATTGATTATGTTTAACAATTAATTACAACATTCCTAAGAAAACATCATGCATTTGTAGGGACTACTCAATGATAATTTCCAGTGGAGATAGTACAGGAAGGCTATTAAGATTTGACCCCAATACCAAACAAGTGAGCGTGTTACACGATGGCTTGGCATTTCCAAACGGGGTTGTTTTGTCTATGGACAACTCGTATCTTCTTGTTGTTGAATCACAGAAAAATCAAATCTTAAAATTTCCGCTCTCTAATAACAGAACAAGAACTCCAAGTGTTTTTGCAAGGGTTGACAGGTTTGCTGATAACATCAGAAGGAACAGTGAAGGAGATTATTGGGTTGCACTAAACACAGCAAGAGAAGGATACACTGAACCAGTGGGTTTGAAGTTTGATGAAAATGGTAGAGTGATTCAAATAGTGAACGGTGATATTGGAAATACTCTAGAGTTTGTCAGCCATGTTGAAGAACACAATGGAAGAATGTGGTTTGGATCTCCGAGACAACCATATGTTGGCACTACTATGAGTTTAGATTTTATTAAGTAGTTAAATAGGTATTTGTTTTAATTAATTTATCATCTAATTTCTTCCTAATCGATGACAAATATGCATGTCATGTGGAATTTCTTGTTGGTTTATTTTATATAATCATGTTTTAGGGGCAACGAGTTAACTACACACTTTCAGCATATTGCAAATGCGATATTTAATAAAATTCGCATCTATTATCCAAATCAAGCCTTTCTTCTCCACTAACGTTATTACATTAACGCAACAAGTCATATATACCCAACAAGAGAATGATAATACAACAATTATTGGTCACATTTGAGTTTGTGCATTTGTAGTATCCAGAATAATCTCATACACTTTGGCGGGTTAAGGCTTCAATAAAAGCATCCTTTAGTAAAGGGTTTGACGCAGCTACTCGTTGAGCTAGACGTGATATCAAAATCTTTTCCTGATCTGATATACGAAAAGAAATAAGAAACGGTTTAGTCCAATTATCATCTGCAAACTAAATTCAATTAGGACATATTGATTACATTTTCACATCATTCAGCTTGTTCTTAGCATATACAGAGAGTATTTAAATGCAGATTTAGAAACATCGAATAGAAACCCACCGAAACCAAACTGACCAAAGTTTATTAAATCCTATGCAGTTTCAGTTTTCTCTCAAGGTTATATAGGCTTAGACAAAAACCAGTCAAAATTGCCCTAAACCGAACCGCCAAAAGCCAATCTCACCATATGCAATTTGATTTTTTGTTCATGTGTAAGTTTCAAAAAGTGACCAAACTAAACTAATCAAAACCTGAGAAAATTGAAGCTGATTTAAGTTATTAAGTTTGTCTTTTTTTAAAACTCCAAAGACCGGTTTGGCGGTTCCGTTTGACAAATTTCAGTCTCATTCTTAAACAGACCAGAACAAAATCGCGCGTGTTCACTTGGACTTAAGGCCAGAATCAAACCGGTCAAAACAAACTAACACTAAACAATAATAAATACGCATAATATCAAATTAGACCTGACCAGACTAAATTAAACAAGTCCAGGGTAGAAACAAGAACAGAACAGACAAAAACTAAACAGACGAGAATACAAGATCAAACCAATAATTTCAGTTTGGGTCCTAAAGTAGCAAATATAAGCTGATATGTGGTTACTCAAAAGGGTTGAGATGAAGGAATGAAGTATTTGGTATACTTACGGATCAAACAGAACGCCACCGGCTTCTTCAACAATAACAGCACCACCAGCCACATCCCATGGACCTCCGAACCCAGCCTCATAGCAAAGATCAATCCTCCCACAGGCAATGCCGCATAGATTCAGTGCAAGAGAACCTGTCATTCGCAGGGACCTCACCTGATCACAAGAGCCAGGGAGACTAAACCATCAATAACCAACCGTCTCTATGCACTGACAGAGCAAAAACGTCTGAGCCTTAATCCCAAAAGAGTTTGGGGTCAACTAGCATGAAGTACGCCAAAAGTATGCACTAATGCAGACTTTAATTAATTAATACCTGGAAAAGTAAGTTGTTGATTCTGGTAGTACAAGCATCCACATTTAACTTATCACGCTTTGTTCCAGCCTCTGTCACAAGGAGCGCCTTTACAAGTTCATCCTGAGAAGATACTGCATGTACATATTTAAATCAAAAGCCAAAGAATCTTGTTAACAAATGCCAGTTTAAGCATGTTTCTTTGACTTATCACCATTTTTTTACCATTTACCTAACACTAACTTGCCGACCCCAAAATCTTTTGGGATTAAGTATTGGATGTTGTTGTTGTTATCTAACACTAGGCACTAGCTTGTTTAATTCCATAGCAAACTAGCTTGCTAAATTGGTTAATCAAGAAAAAGACTACAACAGGAGTTTATTTTTATTGGTGAACTGGACAGATTTAGTTATTTTTCATAAAATAGTAATGAAATCTACGAAATATACAGTTTCATAATTCAAGACATTCATCCAATTCAGAGTAACTTCAGAAATTTCAACCTATGAAGCAAGCAAACTCTGAGGAAAGAGTATATTTCTGTTTCGAAAACTCTAAAGAAACTTTATAGAAACTCTCCATACAATAATTTATCTATTACAAGATGGCGTTTCTCGTTTCACCTTTCCCCACGTTTCTGTGCGACATATATTTCAACACATTCATCCCATTTTGGTCTTCTAGAATGGTACTTAGTCAGAAATTCCACTTTTGGTCCCGTGGAGAGAATACTAATCCTTGATGGGCGTCGAATGGGAGTGGATTTTGATTTTAAAAATGGGAAAATAAAAAGATACCAAACAGACGTGATGAACAGAGGAGACAGATCAGAAGCACGTATAAGATGCCGTTCAAGTAACTCTTTATATAAGTAGGAGATATATATATTTCCTACAATATAAAGTAGGTGCTTGCTATGGTACCCAACAAAAATAGGAGGGTATCATACCTAGGATGCATTTCATTGGTCCAACTCAAAGTTTAACATTTTATTTGCATTTAAATTATTCAATTAAAAATTTTTGATTGGTCCATACCATCAAGGTACCATACCTTCAAGTTACCATAGGAATTGCCTATAAAGTATTGTGCTATCTTCAATGGTAGTCCCTAATACTAAGAAACTTTAAAATATTACACCCATATAATTTGTATCGAATGAGAACACGTTATCAAGTTTTAAATAAATAGTGCATTAAATTTAAACTTTGAGCATCATGCGAAATAAAAATGTGCAATATTATAAATCATAAATGTATTGACATTTTGTGATTAAATTACATTTTATGTCATTTTGAATTGTTCATTGTCTTTATGATAAACATGCACCATCGTGAACCATAAATATGCATCGCTTCAAATTATTTTCATTTCTCATGCAAATTAAAGAACCGTTTTTACTGAAATCAGAGGATATATACACACACGCTTTCAGATAATCTTATCGTTTACTTGTTCCATTTTACAAAATATTAACTAAATTATAATGAAATATAAAAAACGTATTAAAGTACGTTTTTAGGGGTTTTCCTTAAATATTAATAATAAAAAAGTCATAGATAAAAATAGGGAGAATTACCAAATAAGCCCTCAAACTTACATAGGAGGCTTTGTTTGGCCATCGCCATTTTGGGTGGTTCCCGGTGGAATGTTTTGATGAAATTTTTTGAGCATCTTATTCATTAAGTCTAGTTTACTCATACCAAATTTCAGCAAAAACTTCAACCCAGAAGGCAGTCAAATGATTTTCTGAAATATAATGCGCTGTCTATATGCACAATTATCTTCAAAAATTCATTTGACTGCCTTCCCGGTTGAATGTTTAGCTGCAATTTGGTATAGGTAAACTAGACTTAATGCAAAAGATGCTCAAAAAGTTTCCTCAAAAAAATCCACCAGAAACCTCCCCAAATGGCGATGGCTTCAAAGAGCCTCCTACAAAAGGGTTGATCCAAAATTAGGGAAACGAGTAGTTCTTCCCGAGTCTTTCGTCGGAGGTGCACGCAATACTATGCAAAACTACCAAGACGCTATGGCAATCTGTAGATGGGCAGGGTATCCCGATTTGTTTATTACTATCACATGCAATCCAAGATGGCCAGAAATTCTACGTTATGTCAAAGAGAGGGGCCTAAGAGCAGAAGACCGTCTTGATATCATATGTAGAGTTTTCAAGACTAAACTCGACCAACTTATAAAAGATTTGAAGCAAAATGAAGTGTTTGGTCAAGTTAAAGCAGGTACTTAATTTGTTAGGATCTTTAAATTTTTATTCTTTGTAATTTCAAACAATTAATTATGTGGTACCACATAACAAGTACCTGCTGATGAAATATGGGGCACACATCAATGTGGAATGGTGCAATCAGGCTAAGTCAATCAAGTACTTATTTAAGTACATCAACAAGGATCATGATCGTATTACTGTTGCCTTTTCAAAAGCTGCAGATAATACTGAAAAAAAGGACATTGATGAAATAAATATGTATTATGATTGTCGATGTGTTTCATCGTGTGAGGCTGCTTGGAGAATTTTTGGCTTCAATATACATTATAGAGATGTACCTGTTGAGAGACTTAGCTTCCATTTACCTGGTGAATATTTTCTTTTTTATCTTAGGTTTGTTAGTTTTAATATTCCCTTCTTTTTATTTGTTGTTAGTTTCCGTTCCTTGATTTACTTTTTCTTCCTTTAGATGTACTTTCCTTTTTAAAATAAAACTCTCCTTTTTTTGTTAAAAATTAAAACAGGTGAACACAATGTGTATTACTCTGGTAACTGATTCTCTACTGTTGTTCTTCCACACAAACTTGCTAGGAACCTCTAGAGAGTAAATTCACAAAATGGATGGAGGCTAATAAAAAATATCCAGAAGCTAGACTATTAACTTATCCAGAGTTTCCTAGCAAGTTTGTGTGGAAGAACAACAGTAGAGAATGGGTGCAAAGAAAACGTGGAAGTTCCGTTGGAAGATTGTATTTTGTACGTCCTCGATCAGGTGAAAGATTTTTTCTGAGAACACTACTGAGCATTATTCGTGGGCCCACGAGTTATGATGATCTCCTTACTGTGAACGGTATACGATATGAGACTTTCCGTGATGCATGTTATGCACATGGTTTATTAGGTGACGACAAGGAGTATATAAGTGCATTCAAAGAGGCTAGCCACTGGGGTTCTGCGCATTTACTGCGTATATTATTTGTTATCCTGTTGATATCTGATTCATTCGCTAGCCTTGAAAAAGTATGGGATAAGAGCTTTGAATACCTCTCAGAAGATGTGTTATTTAATAGAAGAAGACAGCTTAATCACCAAGGTAAAAAGTTTTGTTATCAATTCTGTTAATTAATTCCTTTTAGTTGATAGAACTAATCAATTTATGATTATTTTTCCTCATTTTCTTCTATATTTTGTTTCAAATGTTCTAGATTTGCAATTAACGGATGATGAGATCAGAAATTTTACATTACTTGAGATTGAAAGACTCTTGCATAGTAGAGGAAAGAGCCTCCGAGATTTTCCTGCTATGCCCTATCCCAAAGATGTATCTTTTCTTAGCTCAGAATATTCTCTCATCAATGATGAGTTACGTTATGACAAAAGATCCATGGATGAGGAACTTTCAAACTTAATGAGTAAGTTGACTGATGAGTAGAAGTATGTCTTTGACACCATTATGCATGCAGTTGATTCATAAGCTAGTGGAATGTTCTCTTTATATGGTCATGGGGGGACTGGGAAGACCTTCATCTGGAGAACATTATTTGCTGCAATAAGATCAAGAGGATATATAGTGTTGAATGTGGCATCAAGTGGAATTGCATCTCTTCTACTTCCAGGAGGGCGAACTGCACACTCTAGATTCGCTATCCCATTGAATGTATTTGAAGATTCAATGTGCAATATTAGGCAAGGAAGTCCATTAGCGGAATTAATACAAATCGCAAAACTTATCATATGAGATGAGACTCCTTTGGCTCATAAGTTTTGCTTTGAAGCATTGGACAAAACCATGCGTGACATTATGCGGACGACCAATCCGCTGAGCATGAATCAGCCCTTCAGAGGTAAGACTGTGGTCTTGGGAGGAGATTTTCGACAAGTACTACCTGTTACTCTAAAGGATTCTAGACATGATATTGTTCACGCGACAATAAATTGCTCTTATCTGTGGGATTATTGTAAGGTATGTCATACATTACTTTTCTTCAAAAGTAACTTTAAAATGTTAACCATTATTAATTATTAATTAATAATATTTAAGATGACCTTAAGGATATTTATATGCGTAGCAACTAACACAATTTTCTCTATTTCTTTCATTTATTTTATAATATTCTTTATCTCTCATGTTCCGCGCATCCTTTATACATTTTTTAAAATCCTTTTTATCTTACCAAAAATTTTCATTATATATATATGTATATATATATGTATATATATATATATATATATATATATATATATAGTCATGTTCGTGTCATGTTCTCTTCACCGGACTTTTCGTACTGAATTTGTTGTTTAGGATGTTCCTGATAGAAACTTTTAATGAAAAATTGTGAGAATGGTCTTCATAAAGTATAAAATATTACAACAAAATTTAAGATTAAAATTTAATCTTCAAGTCAATTAAATAAATTATTGAAAAATAATGCGTTATTTATATATATAAAGTACAATTCTTTTCAATAATTTATTTAACTGACTTCCTGATTGAATTTTCAGCATAAATTTGGTGGACACTCCCTTATAGACCATTTAGGTGTATGAACGTTTTCATTTTTTTAAAATGGCACTTTTTCCTTTTCTAAATTTTGTATCAGGTCAGACGTGAACTAACTTTTAATCAAGTTTCTTGTTTACAAGGTAATATTTTTTAGCTTTAATATTTTACCTGCTGTTTTAAAATAGCATCAACAAACAACATTATACAACCATAACAACTAATGTGTGATTCTGGTCAAAGCTTTTTTGTAATGGGGAACAATTGGCTCAGTTCCGGTTGATCAATGAGTGGCCTAAGTTGAATATACATTATCTACTTCTTTATTTTTTTAGCACCGCATATGAATGTTCTCATTTGTATTTTGAAAAACAATTGACACTCTTGAATGATAATTTAATAATCAAA